AAAAAAAAAAAAAAGATACTGTATAGGAAGAACTTCAGTATATTCACGCAACCCACTGAAGCTAAAAGATAATCCCCAAACCTCATTCAGGAATATATTTCAATCCTTTATGACAATTTTTTTAAAGACAATAAATTTGCACAAATTAGCAAACCATACTTCCTTTAAGTGATTCAAATTTCAGACCTGATACTTCTGTAGTGATTTCCAGGCTTAGAAAATAAAATTAAAAATTTCTAACTGCCCGCATGGTGGCCCACATCTACAATCCCAGCGACTATGGAGGCTGAGGCAGGAAAATCAAAATCAAAGCCAGCCTCAGCAACTTAGCAAGAACCTAAGCAGCTTAGTGAGACCCTGTCTAAATAAAATATTTAAAAAGGGGCTGGAGATGTGGCTCAGTGGTTAAGTCCCTGAGTTCAATCCCTGGTATCTCCCCCTCCCAAAAAAAAAAAAAAAAAAAAAAAATCTAACCTATTTGACCATACCACAGTCAATAGTTCTGATAGAAGACCAAAAAAGTACTATCTTATATTTTGACCCTAATCTCAAAATCTGAAGCAAATTAATTGAGCAGGAATTAGATGGATCTGAATTTTCATCATTAGGTAAGTTACTCAACTTCTCTGGACCTCAGTTTCATTTATACAATGGAAATAAAAGTACCTATCTTATAGGGCTGTTATAACATTTAAAAGGAATAACAAGGAGCATTGAAAATAAGATGTAGGGCTGGGGATATGGCTCAAACGTTAGCGCGCTCGCCTGGCATGCATGCGGCCGGTTCGATCCTCAGCACCACATCAAACAAAGATGTTGTGTCCGCCGAAAACTAAAAAATAAATATTAAAAAAATAAAATAATATAAGATGTAGATCCCCTTCAACCCAAGAAATCAAGGCAAGGTTTCCTAGAACCGTGGCAGGTGTTTCTGACGGGTTCCTGAAACAGACTGCTTTTAGGAACCCGTAATTTCTAGGGGCTGCTCTTTCATACACAATGCTTCCCTTTCCCTACTTAAAATAATACWTAGCAAAATTCCTAACATATAAGGAGCAAATATCTGATCCTTTTTGATTTATGTTTCTTGAAAACTCTCTTCCTTGATAAGTATTTTTTTTAATCAAACAGAGCTGTAGATATGTTGACTGGGTGTGTCTCCAAAAGAGTCCTAGGTTAAACACAAATCTTGGTTTGTGCTTTAAACGGGGCGCAGGTTCTATCTCAAAGCTCAGCACCAATGATTGGTAGGCTATTGATAAGAAAGGAAAGAAGTTGAGGCAAGGGTCCTGCAACAAACTTTCCAAGTGCCAGGTTAACAGGAGGAAACACACATTGCTAAAGAATTAGCAGCGGCCCCGCGGCCAACCAATCTTCACTTCCAAACCTTAAACCCCACCCAGCTTTTTTGTGAAGCACTACTGGTTCTTATTGTTATAATTAGCATAAATATAAATAGCTGTCAATTATCACTCCCTCATTATACGCCACRCTCTTGTGCTAAGCATGCACTTTTCGAGATGTTATGAAAAACTGCACGTGGGTTTATTCTCCAACACACTCTGCTCTCAAATCTAAAATTCTTCTTTCACATCCCCAAATTCAACCTGTCCCCTAAACTCCAGCTACTCCACACCCCTGGCCGAACAACTCAGGCCCAAGACCCACATCCCTCCAAGCAGCAAGACCCCAAGCTGTTGATCCACCACTAAAACCAAGTGCTTCTGCGATTCTCCAGAGCCCCTCCCCTCCACACACTAATTCCAACCTGTCCCTAACTTGTTCCAAGAATTGTTTCCCTCCAAACTTATGACGTACGTAAGACGCGAGGTCTCCTCACTGCCCCTCTAAATCCAACTTGTCCGTAGTTCATTCCAAAGTTCAAAATTCAGAAACACATACTACACCTGGGCAGAGCCCAGTTGCAACTCCATAAGAACTCTCCACAGCAGCCCGAGTGGGGCCCGGGACTCACCACCCCCTAACCAGGCCAGGCCACAACAGCCGGGCAGTTCTCCCGACCCCTAGGGAAGGAGGGGAAGCTCCACCTGACTCCGCGGGCGCGGCGCGAGGTTCCTGCTCCTGCCTGGGCCCCGCAGCGGCCGCGCCCCCGTCCCGGCGCGGGCGGCAGCGCTCTGGCTGGCCGCGGCGGGCGCGCTCGCCCAGCACCTCCGCGTCGGCCTGGCCGTCGTCGCGGGCTCGACGACGGGCCCAGCCCGGGCCGCGGGCGCGGCAGCGCGGGCAGCCTGGGCCCGCCGCGTCGGCGGCGCGTTGGGCGCAGCCTCGGCACAGCGAGTGGCCGCACGGCAGGGCCGCCACTTCCCCTGGGGTCTCCAGGCACCCGGCGCAGCTCGACTCCTCCGGCAGCGGCGGTGGCGGTGGCAACACCAACAACGCAGGGCCAGATCCCTGACCCGGGGCCCCACTCTTCGTTGCCGCCATCTCGTCACAGCGGCCCCGCCGGCCCCGCCGACTTAGAGCCGCCGCTGCCGCCGCGGAAGAGGCCCGAGTACTCGGACCTGCCGCCGCCATCTTGTTTCCCGTTTGAAGGGAGAGTCCGTTGCGAGGGAGAAGAGTAGAGGGCGGGGCAATGCGCGGCGGGCAGCGCTATCTGCATATTCATRAGAGGGGCGGGGCTCCAATGGGCCAGGAAAAGGTTCTCCCCCGACCTGGTTGGTCGGAGGGGATACCTTATTAATATTTATTAGTCATTCTTTATATATCCGGGCTTTAGCCTCGCCTTCCATAATCTTGGCAGTTTCCTACTACTGAACTCGATGAGGATGAGAGTTGGAGGGATTTATTTGGAAATTCTAGACAATGGATTTATTTGGAAATTCTAAACTTTCTGAAGGAATTACACTTGTTCTTCAATACCCTGATAACAGGTTAAAGTGAGTGGGGAGCCTGTGAAGTATCCAGAAACCTGCCTTAGTACTTCATTTGATGTGAGGGCCTGTGCTTTCCCTTAAGGATTATGTTGATTTGTGACCAAAATGAGGCCTACCATTGAATTGTCTTCAATTCAGTAACTGATTGCAGAGAGTAACAACCTCTTGTCAGCCCTCATCTCATCTTCCCTTAAACTCTCCTCCCTTGACTGGCAAAACTATACTTTTCCATCCCCCCCCCCCCCAACACACACACACACACACACACACCTTTAGCTCCTCTCCTTCCTTGAGTAATCTCTATATATCTCTATCTCCCTCTTCTTATCCCCCCCCCAGCTTAAATGCAAATGTTCCTCCAGGCTCAGGACTCCACCCCTTCTCACTCTGCAAACTCCCCTGGTTTACCTTGCCCCTTTCTCCTGAAATTCACAAACTGTTATCTGCAGCCCGGACTCTGAGTCCAACCCTGCATACTCAGCTGCCTGATGGAAATATACTTGGAGGTCTGCATCCTTCATGTACAAAACTAATGTCACTGTCTTCCACCCTCCTTTCAAAACAGCCCTTATTTCCCTCATTCTGTTAAAAGTCCCATCCTCCCAGGTCCTCAAGCTCTAAACCTTCTCATCTTTAACTTCATCCTCATCTCCCATATCTTTTTAGTTACTTAGTCCTGTCAGTTTCCCACTAAAATAACTATTTTCCCACCTATTCCCTCCTCTTCATCCCACTCCCACTACCCAATCATCATCTGTCCCCTAGATTATTGCAGTAGCTTCTATTGATAGACTCCCTTCCCATAGCTTCCTTTCTTCTAATCCATCCTCCATAGCTCTTAAAAGTTGCTTCCTAAAAGCCAGCTCTAACCATGCCATTCCTGCTTGGGCTAGGGTGAGATGCTCAGACTTTGATGTCAGTTCCCTTTCTGGATGCAAAGGGTATGGGGAAAATGGCTCCCCTCTGATAGAGTTCTACAGCAGAGCTCCCACTCTTTGCTTTCTTTGCCCTAACACAGATTTTGCAGCAGGAAGACATTATATAAATGGCATTTCCTGTTGGGAATCTTTATAGAAAAGCAGAAGTTTAGTAAAGAGAGCAAAATCAAAAAAAGCAACTTAATGTAATTAATAGAAGGCATCAGAGGCCCTGGGTTTCCATGAGATTGCCCAGAGCTGGTGGTAAATCAGTCCAATGAAGTGATTGGTCAAAGTCAGAGAGCAGAAATAAAAGATGGATTCTCATGATGAGAACCAGATGGCTAAAGGACACTCAAGAATTGAAGAAGGGTCAGTGAATAATTGAAACAAATATTGTGTGCACAAAGGCCCAGAGACAATCCTGCCAGACACAGAAGTGTGGCCTTGGCTGGGGGACTTCCTCACTTTCTTCCCCACTTAAGGTTCTTAAAGACATTTTCCCCAGTTCTACCAAGGAAGACCTGTGGTTCAGAGATCAAGCTGACAACCATTAGACACAGGCCCTTCATGTGGACTATTCATTCTTGATGTCTTGGGCCTCTTAATCTGAAGGACCTGTTTATTGTTGGAGGAACTGAGCCACGACAGTGTAGCATACTTTCTTCAATACGAATGAAACCAGGAAATTTTCTTTTGCAGAACGGAATAGCAAGAGGCCTGAGTAGCACTAGACCAGATGCCAGGAGATCTGTGCTTGCTTCTGACCCTTTTCATTAACTGATGGTGTGATTTCAAACAGCTACCTCAGTCTCCTCATCTTTAAAACAATTCAGACACATAAATACACACACACTGTCTGTCTGTTTCTCCCAGCCTCCCAAGATCCTACCTCAGATCGACTGAACCCAAAAAAACAGATGGGGAGGGCCAGGATGTGCTATAAAAATTCTAATACTTACTCCTATGAAATACCATTTTTTAAATATTTATTTTTTAGTTTTAGATGGACACAATATATTTTATTTTTATGTGGGGTTGAGGACGGAACCCAGCACCCGCACATGCCAGGCGAGTGCGCTACCACTTGAGCCACATCCCCAGCCCTGAAATACCACTTTGTTAAGTTCAAAGGTCTATCCGAGCTCTAACACTCTAGAATTCTGACCCCTGATTTCTTATTCCTCTATGCTTTAGCAGTTGCTAAAGTAATGTTACTAAATCAGTAGTGGTAAGAAAGCAAGGCAAATCCTGATGAGAAAACAAAGGAGATGAGGATGAGTCTAAAGCTTTAACCTAGGAGCCTGGGATTGTGATAAAAATTGAAAATCGGCAAAAAAAAAAAAAAAAAAAAAAAAAGGAACTACCAAGAAAGAGCAATATGAAAGAAGAGGAAAAATGGGACACGGTGGACATTTTGTTTTGTTTACCACCAGATCTAAACTCCTTCCTATTTGGGGAATACCCCTTTCTATGTAGTATCGATGCCATGAGGGAAGCTGGAGCAGGGGGCTACTGTCTCTCCCTGTTCCCAGCAGCTAGAACATGACACAGGGCCTAGGCTCAGAAACAACCCCCCCCACCCCATCACTCTTGAATGTTCAGCAAATAGAATCTTCAGCAAATGATACACAGAAATAAGGGCTAGAAGCATAACCCAGGGAGTGCTTGCCTCACTTGCATGAGGCCCTGGGTTTGATTCCCAGCACCACAAAAAGAAAAAAGAAAAAAAAGAGATGATTTTAGAATTTGTCATAGCAACAGAGACAGTAGGTGTTCAACAGCAGTGACTCTCAGGTGGGGGTTGGGGTAAGGGGTGGTATTCCTATCGTGGTGATGGTGGCATGCCAGATTGTTCCTGAGGCAAGGATAGGGTTGTGATGCCTGCTGCCTGCTGCCTGGGCCTTCCTAGATTATTGCCCCATTGCATATCTGACTCTCCAGGCTTTCTGTCAACTCTGTATCCTTTTAGTAAATGCCTTCTCTACATCCCTCATCCCCATACTGGGGATTGAACCCAGAGCTTTGAACATGCTAGGCAGGAGCTCTGCCATTGAGCTACACCCTCAGCCCCCACTTTTTTCTTAAATCATTCACAGTTTCTTCATTTGCATTGCAGTACTCTGAGCAAGATATTGGCTTGTTGTTTTTGAAGTGTCATCTGAAAATGCTTGTTAGGATGCTTTGTAGATTATAAAATGACACAAGAAGCTTGGGCCAACAGTCTAGAGCAGAAGTCCAAATAGCATGTGTTGCTCTTTTTTTCAGCCCCACTTGTACCACAGGCCACCAGAAGTGGGACTCACAGACTCGCTTTAGTGCAGGATGCCAACTAGAACAAATGGCAGTGCAGTCACATGTACCAGTGATTCCTCCAACTGCTTTCAGTCTGCTACCCTTGCCATACTTTCTGAGAATTGCATTGCTGCCAGAATTCCCTGCCATCCTTCCCACAGTGCCTCTACCCAAATAGCTCTCCATGGTTCCATACCACCACTAACCCTTCATCACTTCTCCTCTACATCACTGCAAATCTTTTCTCTTCCCTGCAGCTGGTGGCTCTAGCTTCTCTCTCCCAAATTGACAGAATCTGATGTGAATCAAGGCAATCAGTCTAGTTCCAGGTGGAAAGGGCTTTTTCTCTTTGCAGGACCAAGAACCCTTCTGGCCAGCCCAAGCATTGCTGGTTACATTCTGAGACCTCACACATCTATGAAGAAAAGGGGTCAGACCACACCATGTGCCACTTCTCCTTCACTCCCCTTATCTCTTCAGGTAGCCTCTTCTTCCTGAGGTCTTCCTCCCTCAAACCAGATTTCCCCTTGAGAGTTCACCCCTTCCTTTTGRGTTTAAAGGTGATAGAGCACTTGTCTAACACATGTGAGGCACTGGGTTAATTCTCAGCACCACATAAAAGTAAATAAAATAAAGGCCCGTCAACAAGTGAAAATAAAAAAAAAATGATTCCTACATTCTTACTATCAGACATCTACAGTTCTTTCCCTTTTGTTTCGGAGGAAGAATTTGTCCTTTTATGCAAAATGAATCCCTCTAACCATGATTCTCACATCATTTTCCCAGCCTCTTCCAGACCCTTTCCTAATGCTGTATGAATACAAATAAGACTTGATCTCTGCCTCCTCAAAATCATAGCTAATAGAGAGGCAAAAATATAAGTAACTATAGCAGACTTTCAAGGGCTATAACAGATGTATATGAGATGTTACAGAAGCTGAGAGCAAAGGTGGGGGTATGGGAGAAGGTTTCACAGAGGAGGGGAGATTCAAGTTGTTTTGAAGGAAAAAGAGGTATTCACCAGGTAGAGACAGAGAAAAGTATTTCAGGTGGAGAGAAAAYAATAAGATACAAATGTATAAAAGTTTGGGGTCTATATGGGATTAAGGAATTCAATGTGCTAGAACATTGGGTTGGATTATGAAGCTAGAAAATGGGAGAAAATTTATTGAGTAATTACTATGTGACAGGTATCATACTAAGCAATAATATACCTATGATTTAAGCCCATAAAGTGAGTGTGTGGATATGTGTGTGTGTGTATACACACACACACACACACACACACACACACATACACACATATATACATACCAGGGATTGAACCCAGGGGTGCTTAACCACTGAGCCACATCCCCAGCCCTTTTATGTATTTTATTTAGAGACAGGTCTCACTGAATTACTTAGGGCCTCACTAAGTTGCTGAGGC